CTAGACCGGGCCCCGGACACGCTCTGGGGAAAGGCAGTGTATGTGGGAGGCGGTCCGGGAGGAGAAGAAGAGAATGACCATGGGATGGTTAAATGGGACATCAAGAGACTGTTTTGGCTCAATGGATAGAGCATCGGTTTGGGGACTGAAAGGTTCCAGGTTCGATTTCGGTCAAGGACATATACCTTGGTTGCGGGCACATCCCCAGGAGGATCGATGACTCTCTCTCATCAATGTTTCTAACTCTCTATCTCTCTCCCTTCCTCTCTGTACAAAATCAATAAAATATATTTTAAAAAAAGAGAGAGAGAGAGACTCTCAGGGAGTGAGGTCAAGGCAAGAAAAGAGCCGGCAGAGGCTCAGGACCTCGGCTGACCTTGGGAAAGGTGAGGCAGAGACGCACAGGCTGCGCTTGCGGAGGAGTTTGCTTGCATTCCACCTGAGTCTCAGACTCCGGGAGGCAGTCCCAGGGCCCCCCGCATCTCTGCCATCTCACCCTGCAGCCCTGGTCAGTGTTTCACGTTCCTCAGTGTCCTATACACAGGTGTACGTATCTAAACCTCATCCCCAAGACAGAATCATATAATAAACGTATTATCGGGACCATATGCTTACTTGGTTTTCTAGTTGTTCTTTCGGTTTTCTCTGTGGGTTTTTGAGTGCTTACTATGTACCACGTGTCTTTAATACATCATCTTTTAATTTTAAAAATCCTGTGAGGAGAACCCTGGGGTCAGCCAAGATATTTAAATGGACACAAACAGCACCAGCTCGCTGTAAAAGAAAAGTTTGATGATTTGGACCTCATTACAGTTCAGTCTCAGCATGTACCTGTCAGAGAGGGAAAAGAGCCAGAGACTGCCAGCTCCTGCGCACACCCCTGACGAAGGCTCAGCGGATGCAGAAGGACTGCACGTCAACAAGAGAGAGACAGCGTGACTTTACACTGGGCAGGAAATTTGACAAAGAGGATGGAAATGGTCCATGAACACTTGAAAAGGTGCTGAGTGTCATTGTTTATCAGAGAAATGGGAATTAAAACCACAATGAGACATCACCCCTATCCACTGACCAGCTAGAATTCAATGGCTGCCAATACCAAGTATTGACAAGGATAATGAAGAACTGGAATCCTCATACATAACTGACACAATTATTTTGGGGAAATGTTTGCCCACACTAAAATTAAACATACATGTATCCCATGGCCCAGCAATTCCACTCCTGAGTGCATGTGTCCAGCAGGAATGAAGGCTCTGTCTCAGGTGAGTCTGCATCTCTCACAAAAGAACGTCCACCAAAGACATGACTCACAACATCTTTATTTGCAATGGAGCCAAGCTGCACTCCCCCGTCCATTACCATCCGGATGGCTACATAAACTGCCATATTCATGCAATGGAATGGATCCTGTAGTGAAAGAAAATGAACTACTGATCACACAATAGCACTAATGACTCAGACATAATGTGGAGAAAAATAAGTCAAAAAGCACAAGAGTACATTCTATATACTTCTATTTACATATCGTTCAAGGACATGTGAAATTAATTTACTGTGATAAAGGTCAAGATTGTGGCCCTAACGAGTTTGGCTCAGTGGATAGAGCATTGGCCTGCAGACTGAAGGGTCCCGGGTTCGATTCCAGTCAAGGTCATGTACTTTGGTTGCAGCACATTCCCCAGTAGGGGGAGTGCAGGAGGCAATTGATTGATGTTTCTCTCTCATTGATGTTTCTAACTCTCTCTCCCTCTCCCTTCCTCTCTGAAAAAAAATTAATAAAAATATATATTTTTAAAAAAGGTATCCTCTATGCCTGTCTTTTCCTAACAATATTATGATTTCCTGAGTTAGAGAATGTGGTTGAGGACACCATCTAATAATAGAGGAATATGCAAATTGTCTGGGACGCCATCACAGTAACAGTAACAATCAAACAGCAGGCTGCCTGGGGCTAGCAGGCTGGCAGGGGAGTTAGTAAGATATGGTCAAATGACTGAACAACAGGCTGCATGAGCAACCGGGCCAGCAAGGGGGTTAGAGAGGAACAACCAAACAACTTAACAGCAGGCTGTATGGGGTGACCAGGCTGGCAAGGTGGGGGCAGTTAAGGAAGACCAGGCTAGCAGAGGGGGCAGTGAGGAATGACCAGGCTGGCAAAGGGTCAGTTGGGGGAGACCAGGCCAGCAGGAGGTGGCAGATGGGGGTGACCAGGCCAGCAGGGGGGCAAGTTAGAGGCAATCAGGCCAGCAGGCAGAGATGGTAAGGGGTGATCAGGCTGGCAGGGTGGGCAGTTAGAGGCAATCAGGCAGGCAGGCAGGTGAGCAGTTAGGAGCCAGTGGTCCTAGATTGTGAGATGGATGTCTAACTGCCAGTTTAGGGGCCTAAACCAGCAGTCAGACATCCCCTGAGGGGTCCCGGATTGAGGAGGGCGCAGGCTGGGCTGAGAGACTTCCCTCCCCCCACCCCCGTGCACGAATTTCATGTACAAGGCCTATACTGGTATATATAAAGCATTTGGTAAGGCCGGTAACCATGGTGCTGGCTGAAGATGGTGCAGGGATGGCAAACATCCATTCCAATGAAGACAGACCACTGCCCCTCCAGGCTGGTTTCCCTGGACAGTGATGCTACGTGGCGAGGTCCACATTGACCTCTGCTGTTGGCAGCTTGGGCACTCAGCAGCCGGGCTATCTTTCTGGGTCAGCCTTGAGGAGGAGAAGGCATCTTACTGAGCTCATGAACCTCCATCCCTACCACTATGTCTGCTTATGCATGAGCCCTCAGAGCAGGCAGTGGAGCAGCTGGAGAGAAGGCCTGGCCAGCATCCACAGAATGGCCATCTGGTCCATCTGAATTTGAAAGCAGCAAATTCACATGGGACACAAATATGCTCAACATATGTGCCCGTCCCTAAAGACTCATGCACACTCCTCTTTCCTTGACTTCCTTGTCACCAATGCACTAACTATAGCCTTTCCACATCCCAAGTTACTCAGCCAATGCTGGCCATTGCGTCTGGATCCGGGGAAAGTAACTCTGGTCACCTCTTTGCTCAGATGCGAGTTATTGGAGGAGGAGATACGCTCACGTGGTTTGGGAAGAAGTCGTTTCCTTATGGTTGTAGAATTGAGGTCCCTTATCCTTGCTGGGTGTCTGCTGGGGTTGCTCTCAGACCCTTCAGCTCACCCTGTTTAAGGAGCTGGAGGCCATGAGGGTGCTTATAAAGGACCTGTGGTAGGAAGCATGATGTCCCCCAAAGATGCCTGCATCCCAATCCCAGAACCTGTAAGTATGCTACACTACCTGGCAGAGGGGCTTCACACGGTGGTGACAGCATGGATCTTGAGAGGGAAGATGACCCTGGCTTATATGGGTGCTGCGTGGGCAAACATAATCCCAAAGGTCCTTGCAAGAGGAACGCAGAACAGTCAGAACCAGATGGCCATGACGACACTGTGGTGCTGGCTTCAAGGTGGAGGAAGGCCCCAAAGCCCAGGAGTGAGGAAGCCTCTGGAAGCCAGTGAGGCCAGGAAACAGCTTCTCCCCAAGCCTCCGGAGGACAGAGCCTGCACGCCTCACTCCAGGCCAGCGAGACTGCTCAGACTTCTGATTTCTGGTGCGGGGGCCTGAGTTGGCGGGGATCTCCCTTCTCCGCATCCAGCACTGGAAGAGAGATGAAACAGGTTCCTTGAAAAGGCGGCCGGGGATTGAGAAATATATTAAATAAAGAGCCGACACAGAAATATTGTAGATTCAAAACTGGGTCCCGGGTGGGTGGCTGCCCTTTTTGTTGGAGAGACAGACGACCTGAGCCAGGCAGCACATTTATTTATTTCCAGAAGAATAAAGGGGGGCTCCCTGAAAAGCGTAGATCAAAGGCGTTTTGGGTGTGTCCAGGTTCTATTCATTCCCTCATTCCTGGTATTAACATATCAAGGCCTGGGTGGGCCAATGTCCTATTCAACCCCTCAGTCCCAGCACATGGATAAAGATAAGTTGGATTGCTTAAAGCCACTGTGCTGTGGTGTTTGTCACGTAAGCCACTGGAAACTAACAAGGGCTCTCACAGTTACAACTGGTCCTCACCGTCAATTGTCCCAGCAGCAATCAAGTCTCACCGACAAGACAGTGCACACACCACACAGGGTGACCTAGAGCACCCAGGCCAGGTCACTGGGGAGGCTGAGCCACTGGGCCCTGCAGGACACCTACCACACAAGGCCACTCACTCTACCGACTCCAGGAGACATAGCAGCTCTTCCTGCTGGAAACCAAATCAGTTTTACTGAGAAAGAGATGTTGACAGGAAGCCAGGAAGGCTGGTCAACAACCTTAATTGCTCAACCTTTAGCTGAGATTTTGTTAGCTGGAGCAAAATCTAGCTTGTCCATGAAAGTTTCTGTTATTTCCTGCCTAAGGGCTATATGTAAATTTCTGTTTATGTTGCTTAAGATGTTTTCCCCAAAGCCTCAATAAAAGGGGATGGCAGGGCCAGAGCAGGAGTAGTTCTCCCACTAGAGTTGGACTACCGCCTGGCCCCCCAAATCGCCAAATTGAATTTCTTCAAGTCTCTTCATTTGTGTGCGGCCCTTCTCCAGAAGCTGAACCCTGAATTGGAACTCTTTCTACGCGGCCGTGAAAGAGAGTCCTATATCTTCCCATACATGGAAACAAACACAGGGAAGCCTAAGCCGCCCGTCAGACTTTCTTCGCCTTGCCTCGGAGGCCGGAGAGGCTCCCACCACCACCGCTGTGCTCGCCAGCCGTGAGCCCGGCTTCTGGCTGAGCACCGGGGGCAGCTCCTGCATTGAGTGTCTGCCCCCTGATGGCCAGTGTGCATCCTAGTGACCGGTCATTCCACCATTCGGTCATTTGCATATTAGCCTTTTATTATAATTAGGAGGATATGTTGTAGATGAGGCCCCCTAAACCATAAGAAATGCAAAAAATTCACTGTAACTCATTCTCAAATTGCCCCCACTTAAAATCAAATTGCCCTCCCCCTTCTCCCCCCGTGGGGCGTGTTCTGCACCTTGGGAACCACTGGGCTTGACACCTTTCCTCTCTGAGCTTCATTTCTGAATACACACACACACCATGGGAACTGTGATCTCCCCTCCACCCCCCTCACTGGGTTCTCATGAGGAGGTTCTGATCTGATAAACCTAAAAATGTTCCATCA